TCTAGTATTTTACTTTTCATCTGCTTTAAAAAGAAAACTTCAGAAATGGGGAAATAAATTGTTAAGTGATTGTATGTAGTAATAATCTTATTTGGAGGATGCAACAGTACCTTTAGCTTTTTTAATTTAAAAACTATGTGCATCAAAAACAATTGGCAGCAATTATAAATCCACAGTCAGAGGAAATACGTGCTATACCATTAATATGAAATGCAAAATATTAGACGAGAAAGAACTAATAGCAGGCTTTAGTTGGAAATGCAGATGTCAGCTGTGGGTGCCTTGATTGTCAATAGCAGTGTTAAACATAGAGTAGAATATCAGCCTGCACTTAGTCTTTATTCTTCTCTCAAAATCATTAAAGCTAAGACAGTTTTGACATAGGTTTTGTTATGGCTCAATAAGTGAAGACGTGTGTGGAACGTATATGCATGTATGTACTGAATTATTCATGTTTAAGTTACTGCTTTGAGGAATCAAACGGATTGTGCTTTGTTGGCAGTTAGACTTCAAACCATATCTCATAGAAGAAGAGAATAAACATGCTTAATTTATCTTAGACCAAGCTAGTTATCAACTGTACACAGATCCAGACAGCTTTTTATTATGGTTGCGTCTGACAGAAGCCAGGTAAGTATCGATTTCTTTTAGAAAGTGTTTTAATGGGATTTAGCATACCCTTGCAGACCCTGCTTTACCATCTGTGCCACATCAATCTAAGTAGAAAGACTTTCCATAGTGTATCTAAAACTTACCAAATTTCCTGAGCTGTGGCCACCAGGCCTGCCTTAGGCAGGGGGGAGGGAGACTTCAAATTGGAGGATGGCAGTGGCTCCTCAGAGGTACCTTTCCCCTTTCAAAAGAGAGGGGCCTGAGCTGGGTGCACAACAGGATTCCCGTTATCTTGTGAAACCCGTCTCAACAGTTCTTTCTGCATTGCTTTCATTTAATGACCTGAGATTTGAATTCCTCACCAACCCTCAGAGCCAAATGGAGCTGAGAAGCTGCGATTTGGCCACCTCTGATGTACCTGAACAGGACAGGCTGACACTTGGCCAAATTCAGTCTCTCAGCATCCATCCTGAAGAATCCTGTTGAGATTGAGGGTTTTTTTGTTTTTGTTTTTTTTTTTTGCTTTTAGCTCATTTCATCCAATAAGCTCCCCCTCCCCCCCCTTTTTTTTTTTTTGCACAATAGATACTACATGAGCTCTAGACTGTTTTCTTTTGTTTTACACCAGATTCTTGTGTGACTTACTGTGTATGAATTCAGTTGATGAGCTCGTTTGATCTATTGTAAGTTCAAATTTTGAAGAGTTCAAATCTGTATAGATTTGAAAGCTGTTGGGCTTGAAATCTATTTCATTTCAAATGCTGAGGATTTGTGGAGGAGTGTATTTAAAATCAAAACTGTATGTTTTTAAATGTCATATCGACTGCAAGCCCACTTTATGCTGTGACCTCTTAGTGCAGTGCGCCAAGTTTCGATAGGTGAAGAAAATTCAGCTGATCTGGCAAAAGGTGTTGATTCAATAGATGAATCTTCTCTCTGGTGGCTTGTCTAAATGATATTTTGCTTTAGAGGAGGTTTTATTTACTGTAAGGGAGGGGGAAGTTTTACTTTCTAGCATAGCTAGGAAACACGTGCTACCTGATACTTATGTTTTACCTTACGCTAACTAACTTAACTGTGGGACAAAAATGTGTAGAAAAGGTGTTATCTAACCCACTGAAAAATCTTCAGTAATTGTGCCCTTAGGCAGTGTTGACTGTCATCCTTCTCAAAAGAGTAAAAGCTTGCATATTGAAATAAAATGAGATTATCTTAATGTTTAATAATATGTCTGTATTGCCTAGAAACATACTCATGTTCAGTGCCTGAAGTTAGATTATAAATGCATTGCAGTCTGTTGTTGGATAATTTATAAATAGGTGCTTTACATACTAAATCATCTCTTCCTGTTTTTGTTAATGTCTGCAAATTATTTATTGCAGCCTACGTTACCCTCCTACTTTTTTGCTAAAAGCTAGGATTTTACTGCTTGAAAGTTTTAGATCTGTCTAGGATAAATATATCCTGTATTAGCAACACTTTTTGTAATTTTGGCAAGCTTCTAGAAAAGAAGCTTCTAAAAACTACAAAGAAAAAGCCCACTCCCCCAATATCGTTTTATTCAATATGTCCTTGATTTAAATTCAAAGTTATGCTAATTTTCTTACTGCTACCATCCTGTGCTTTTGGGAGAATGAAATACTCCTAAGCTTTTTAGTTTACTCAGTTTACTTGGCTGATGAAGAATTTGCTTGGCAGCACTGTCTGTATTTTCCTATCCCACGTGATCTTGTGTCAGCCTAGCTCTGACCTTTATATGATGGAGCCTACTGGTAATATAGTCTTCTGCTTAACAAGCTTTCAAATAAAAATATATGATTGGCAGAGCTGCAGGAAATAATTAGTTCTGAGTAGACGTGAAAAATGAAAGGATTATTTAAGGGAAAATTAGACTACTTTGTGGAATATATAAGGTTGTCTGAGCTTTTATTTTCACTACTAAATGATTGAAATAAATTTTTGACTATACTAAACACATTTGAATGAATCACTCTAAAGAAGCTCTCTAAATAGCTTTACTGTTTATTGCAGGTTCAAGTGTTTGAAACGTTAATTAGTTCTTCTGCTCTTTCAGAACTACACATAAAATGTGACCAAGTGGGAAAGGTAGTTTAGGAAAGACTAGACGTGCACCAGATTTTGCTCAAACTTACTTAGGGAACAGTTTACGGTGTTCTTCAAAATAATAAAAGGTTCATACTTTTTTTTTTATTATTATTATAGAATTATGCAATCTTCCAGTGGTTATTACAGAGGTCAAGATGGTGATATTTTCTGTCCTTTAATTAGAAATACAAAACAACACAAGATCAGTCACTTTATAGATGAGTTCTCAAGTATGCTGTACGTGGAGGCAGAAGGAGTACATCAATCTCTGGAATTGTACTTGCAGCATTTAAAACTTTCTGGATCATGCAGCCGTGTTCTGTGAAGGGTGAATAAAGAATGTGCCGCTATCCAGCTTCTAGGATTTTTCCATTCATTACATGTGGTTTTTTTTTTTTTTTTTTTAAATTAATAACAGCTCCAATATATGAAAGGAAGGGAAAGTTGAAGCTATGCAGTGTGGCTTGACTGTCCGGCCTCTGAAGTGTCAGATGCAAGTTGTTAATGACCAAATACGTTTTCTTCTTCTTAATAAGCACAGATTAACGATCAGAGCTCAACATCGGAGGCATTTCACCTGTTTTAGTCCTGGCTTTGCACAGGACGTGCTTCCCCTTCATATGATGGTGGCTCTGCTGCCTCTCCTGGTATAGATCCAAGCTGAGTCATGTAAGAAAGTGTTTGCGAGTTATTCCGAGCAGTGTGGAATGTAACCAATGAACAGTTCTTCAAGCTGTTACAGTGAAAAACTGAGGACTTTTGGTAGAGGTCCAGTAGGGATTTAGTGCTAAGAAGGGAGTCCAAGAAAAACTTCATGCCCCTCTTGGGAGTACGAGAATTAGAAGATTCTGGAGAAAGCCAGTGTCGTCAATGAGGGGGTGATAAATTTGAAAAGAACTTGATTAAACTCAAGTGAATCTAAAATTAGCTCTCAGTTTTTTCTCTCTTCAGAAGTTCTTCAGGTTGTCATTTTGCCATTTAATGACTTGGTGTTCTTTTTGACTGAGCAGTTCTGATTTGCTTTGATCCGTGCTGAGGAGTGGGGGGCTGTTTTCTGTCTAGATTCTGTCCTTTCCCCTCTAGTTGTGTTTAATACAGGGAATCTGTGGTTCCTGGTTCTCCTGCTCAGCTGTGCAACTGCCATTCATGATGAGAATCATGGCTGGAGGTATACACGCTGCAGTGCCAGGATCCTGTGTTCATTGCTTCTAGCTTTTGAAAAATTCTGTAATTGAAGCTGAAACTTTGTGGGCTTATTCTCTGTGGACCTTGAAAGGGAGGATTTTTCAAAGTTATTTCTGTGTGCGAATGAGGTGGCAAAATGAAGGATGATCTCATTGAAATAACTTCCAATGCTATATTGTGCTTGAAACAACGCTAATGTATGAGTTTGGTGCCTTACTGCTTAAAAGTGGCACATCTTATTGACCCTAACTTTAGAATTTATGTATTACCTGTTGCTCCCTTTCACTTAATGATATCTGCAGTGTGTTGTCATCACTATCTAATGCTCAAAATGTAATAAACTCCATTATGGGTAATTATTAATGCGACGAATGTGTGTTTTGAACATTTGTATTGATCTGGTGCAATGCACCAAATGTATAAAGAACAATGTAAAGTCAGTGATTTATTTCAGATCTTGAAAGGTCAGTATACTACTGAGAATTAAAGAAGAACTTTTATACTTTTTTGTGGCTGCCTTGTAACATGCTTTGCAGGTTTTTGCTGCCACTGTGTATTGGAAAATTTTCCAACTACAGCTATATCTTTTTCTTTTCTGTAACAGAAAAGCTAACATTTACACAAATAATGCTTCTTTCAAGGCATTTGAAGCAGTGAGTTTGCTTAGCTCTGTAAACTTCATTGTTATGTTGACGTTGAAAGTATTATGAACAAATGAGCTGAATTACTTCAGAAGTAAACTGTATAGAAAAGTAGTATGTGATTCCTATATCCAAAGCTGTAATTAAGAACTATTTAACTTTAAATACTGTGTAGCTAAATTTTAAAAGGTATTTAGCTCTTATATGCTTGAATACAAATTATAGACTTTTTTTTTTCTATGACCTTTGATTTGGTTAAACCTCTTATAACCTGAGACAAATGCTTGAAAACTAAATATTTAGCAAAAACCTATACATTAGTGATAGTATTTTGATAATATTTGGTAATATTTTGTGTATCTGTATAATTATAAACATTTTATAAGGAACATGTCAGATTGTTCAAATAATTTGGTAAGTATTAGTTTAAGTACTTTTTTTTTTTTTTTTTGGCAGGGACAGCCGGTTGGAGATTGCGATTTTAACATTCGACTCGCATGTATAGAAAAAGAGATAATATTTCCACGGCATGAAAAGATGAAGACTGGTCTTATTGACAAAGCTCAGGAGCCGTTCAGTGTTCGAAACAAACCATTTTTTGACATTTACACTGCGAGAAAGGTAAACTTGATTTCAGTTATTGTTTTTGTTGTGGTGCTGAAGGCAGTAATGCAGTAAAAGCTTTCCTTTAGCTTTTTTAGCTTCCAGCAAATTTCTCTGCAAAGCAAGTGTTCAGCAAACCTTGGCTGGGATATTCTGAAGGTGGTTTTAGGCTGCCTATTCCTCCTAAATTACTGTTTCCCTTTTTAAAAAACTGCTGTGGCAAAATCTAGTTATTTAGTTTCATATGTTGAGTGATGACATAGAAAGTTAATAGCTTAAATCGGAAATGTCTCTGAGCATATGGGAATGTGTGAAAGCTCTTTTGTTTCCACTAGTCTCCTTCATAGGTAAGAATATAATTTTCTTTTTGCTTCCAGTCCTAATTTGGCCATAGTATAAGAATCATGAGTTGTGTTTGAACTCCCACTTCATGTTCAGCAGTGATTACTAAGAACCCATGGTAGCTGAAGTCTCCACATTTTACTTATTAATAGACTGCCCTAGGTCATCTTAGGTAAAGTATATGGCTTATAAATATGTTAGTTCCTATCTGTCATTGTGCGCTCTTTCCTTCCGTATAGAAATATCCTAACACTGTGTAAAATATTTGTATTCACCTCTGTGAATTAAGTAGCCCATGGATAATACTTCCTCCTAGAGTAACCAGTTTTCTGGTTAGCGCTGCTGTTAGTAGTCCCGTGTCTCATCGACACAGAACAATAAACTTCAAATTGTCTCCTTCCGCTTGCTTTTGTCCTTTCCTTGAGCGTGTAGCAGGTAATGAGTCTCCTCCCAGGAGGAGTGATCGTGGAATTTTTGGCTAACTAGGTGGTGGCTGAAGACTAAATAACGTGATAAGGCCTAAGTTGGGCTCTGAAAAAGTAGGAGTCCTGGGAAAGTTTAAGCCATGAAAAGTTGTATCCGATTGTTGTACAGATAAAGCACCGTTTTGATCATGTCTTTTTATTTGTGTTGTCGCATTTTTTGGTTGTCAGGTTGGGATATTGTCCAACTAAGGTAGTATTTATCGACACCATGAATTCAAAGTAAATTTTCATAGGGGAAAAAGGCTGTTCATCTAGAACACATTGTGAGCTTGAAATTAAAAGAAACTAGAATAAAAGGAACCAATTTCTTAAAAATTACTGTCTTACATAAATTTATAGTTGCTTGAAGTGTTCTGAGGTTTCAGACTCTGTAACGGAATCTAAAAAAGACAGGAAAAACTCAGACTCAGAAGTGTTTCTAGAAAAATCTGTAAGTGAAACACATCTATAAGCAAATCTCCTGCTAGTTATGTCAAATCATTCTGTGAACTGTGTTCTGGATAAATTATGAACTTTAAGGTAAAAAGTCACATTTTATGGAAATACATTTTTCCTGTTGTAGTCTGAGGAAAAAATATTAACCAGTATGCTTTTTCACCATGTTTTTATGTCGGTCTCAGGACATAATGGGCTCAGATTCAGAGGAAATTGTCCTGTTTTCTTCATTCTTTAGGCTATTCGGAAAACACTGAGAAAGATAGGCTTTATCTGATGAGCAACAACTGACTTCTTTCCAAGATGAGTTTTGCAGCTTTTCAACCAATATAAATTGGATCCACTGTTTGAGTATAGCCATTCTGTCCTCTCACATAAGAGTCCTGAACCCTGCGCTTAAGATCCTTGGTGTCTCTTTTAAGAAACCAGAAAGCATTCGTAGAAGATTTGAACGATCTTTTTCAATGGACGCTATGGTCTTAAGAATAGTTTGAAGAATTAGTTACTATCGTTATCTAAACATTTTCTTGCTGGATCCTAGCTTCTTCCTCAGTTCAGTTTCTTTTAGAAGGGTCAGTTCATTTAGTCGCTTAAAATCCAAGGTTCGTTCCTGCTGCTGCCTGGTTATCGTCTTCCCCTAGTAATTCAGGTGTAATGTGGCCTTAGATTTTTTTTTTTTTTTTTTAAAAACCTTGTAAGCCTAATTCTTATGGTCAGGTTGTTCCATTCCCCCCTCCCCCTTTCAAATCTTTTTAAAATCCAGGGTAATGGAGAAAGATACCTTGTTCCACAGCCTGACAGAGTAATAAGTAAGCAAGATGCAGGCTTTGTGAGCTGTGCCTGCTTTCATCAGGGATAGATTTTTCTAGGCAGATCAAAACAGCTTTTATGGCTTTTTCCTAAAGAGAATGTGACAAGGTCTCCCCATGTTTTAAAAATATATCCTGTAGGGGGAGGGGTAATTTCAAGGATTAACTGTAACCTTGTTGAAGCTCATTTTGTAGGGAGATTCAGAATAGCTGAATTAAGATTGTGTCTTGGGTTGTCTTCTAGTGTACACCTCTTGAAAACAGAGGCAGCTTAGGCTTGCTTTAGCCTTTCAGAGTGCCAATCTAAATTGGTGGTTCTGAAGTGCCATATAGAAGTTTCTTTATATGGTTCCTGTAGGAGGTACTGAAGTCGGTTAAACCTTTATTAATACCCTCATACTCCCGAGCAGAGGAATATGGTATGTCGTCATCCTTTGGAAGCAAGATTTTGATATGTTTCCCTTTTGTTTCCTTTTAGTCCTAAGCAAGTAAAGAGAAAGTATTAATAAAAAATGTCACATTTTTTAGAAAGGAATTCTTGTTTCCCCAGAATGATGTGAAATTTCCACATATATTCTCCTCCCAGATGGAGAAGGGGGAAAAAAAAATGCACAGAAGCTGCTGACATGCGTTCTTTGAATCCTTGTTCCCAAGCGGTTACAGGGGTAGAGGTTCAGTTAAAAAAGAAAGCAAAAACTACAGTGGAAACAAAGGTAACTGCCTATTCAAGTAGATGGGATCCAACAGTCAGATTATGTTCATATGTACATACATCTCTATATGTATAGAGATGCACATATATCTCTATGCATATATGATGACCGTCTATACATATGTATAGAGGGTCATCCTGGGGAAATAAGAACAGGGTGAGACACAATACCTTAAATTCAACAAGATGAAGATATTGAGACTGCTTTTTTTTCCTCACGTTCAGTACTAATGGTGATCTCATGCTTCTTGTGAAGATGCAGTAATGGAGTAGAGAAAGAACAGCAGATTCTCACTAAGGATTCTGCCAGTGGGAAGAAAGCACTTGAGAGACTGAGGCATCTTTAGCTGGCTGAGAAATTCTTACAACATAACTGCAGCCTCAGTTAGCCTGGCTGGGTGTATATATTCCACTTTTTGGGAAACCCAAGCCAGTTAATGATGGAAAAAATGAGAAAGTATAATAATACAGTGAAAGGGTCCTATTTTCCACCTCATTCTTTTTATCCTTCTTACTGTAAGAGTAGATGGTACTTAACAACAAGAAAGAGTTCTAATGCAAAACAACGGTCACAGAAGAGCAGCAGCTTCTGGCTATAGTCCTTTTCCTTTGTTGGACTACAGAGACTCCAGTAACTCAGTGGATTTTGAGTTCTTCTGACGTGGGAAGTTTAAAACTGCTTTTCTATAAGAGATCATAAACATATGAAATATATTTCCATCCTTCTCCTGTGGCCTCTTTTTTTTTTGTAAAACATATTTCTACCAACATGAGACATGTACCTAAATATTATTTTAAAAAGTGGTAATTGTGAGATCTCTAGGAATGTATTTTAGCTTGAACTTGCATACTGACTAGAGTATCCTTTTTTTTTTTTTAGAGCATTTATAAGTTGTACGTGTATTTCAGATACCTGATTCTGTAGCACAGTGGAAGATCTTTGAAATCTTCTAAGGAGACAGTCTATTTGGGATTTCTAGTAGACATAGACCAAAATTGTTCCTACAGTAATCTGGATCCAAAAGATACGCACTGTCCTCTAAACTGAGGAACTAGCATTTGTTGTTTACGCTTTCAGCTGTTGACGTGTTAAACTGCAGCTCCCCTTACATTAAAGATTTCTAAAGGTAGAGATCTTCAGTAGTGCTGAATGTCTACGCTCCCCATATAGTCAGGGGAACCCTTGAGGCAGTGGCCAGTGGTACAATCACCCTTTACAGAAAACAGCTGTTTTCTGGTCACAATGCCAGTGACTGTACTAACTACATTTTTATTGACTATTATGGGAGTTTAGCCATATAGTACACGCATAAATACCTGAATTTAATCTTCAACTGAAGCCTGCCTTTAATATCATGCATGCCTTAAGGCTATTTCCAGTCTAGTGATACGTGTGGGAGCTCTAGAGTTTTAGGGTTTTTTTAAGTCACTGAAATAGCTCCTAAAACAGATCAAGAAGAGTGAAATAATTCCAGAATAGTGAATTTTCTTTGAAAAATATTTTCTTCGATTTGTTAGCAGAACAAGGACAGATGCTAGTTTCTAAAATTGTGAATGACTCTTACACTAGAGGAAAAACCCATTGATTTGGCAAAACTTTTTGGTAGACCTAACAGTTAAAAGCAACCCCAGTAATCTTATCTTACTTGCAAAAAATAGCACGTACTTGCATAAGCAGACATCAACCTGAAACTGTTTTTAAATAAGAATTTTGTTTCAAACTTTTTCTTTTATCTAACAATACATGGGCATAAATATATCAAAATTTGCAGGGCAAAAGAGTAGCTTTATCAACAAGAAAAGAAATTAACATACCAAGTAGACCAGCTTAAAGAAAAGTGTCTCAAAGTAGTATAGGATTTAAGTGTCAATTCAGATAACAATTTTTTATTAAGAAGCTGCTAATTAGTTCTATAATGAATTTTATGTACTGTGAGGAATTATTACAGTGACTGTTTCTGTTAGAGGTAGAACAATATATTGGTATGCATTGCCAATGACATTTTTATCAATGTGACCGATAATCATTGTTCTTTTTTACGGTAATGGAATAGTAAGGAAATTAAAGAACTGCATCAATCTCTGTGCCAGAAAACATGAAAACAATATCTGCAAAGTTCAAAAAAGGGAAAAAGGCCTAAATGCTTATTTTACATGAAATTGTTAACTGTTGACGTTCATTAAGAGTTGGTTGCTGCCGGGACGTAGAGTTCAAAATTCAGCAAAATATATTTT